CGTTATGTCCAAATTCACGTCGAATTTGTAAAGTATTCTGTTTTCGTCTTTTGTTATGAAGAATATGTAGCAGTTTGTTATTGGTTTTGTGGCAGTAAATGCTTCAATTATTAATGTTTTGAGTGAGGATTGGAGGACATCCTCGTTTTGTTTTTTTTTGTTCCTGCTTTTATCCAAGGCTTTTGCTAGTTTGGAGATGGAGGTTTTCGTAATGCAGAGAGAGTGGAGCCCTCAGTTCCAGGTTCCAGTTATGGTTTCAGAAACTTAAGTGTGATCATGTGAACTAAGGTAACATTTTGTTCAAATTTTAAAGTAAAGACAGACATTTTTTTTATAAAATAATAATTGCTTTCGTTGACATTTAAAATTGTAAATTTTAGGTTTTGAGTAAAGCTGTCAATTTGTGTTTAGTTTTTTTTGAAATTTAATGGTAATTTATGACAGCTCGTTTTAGTACTTTTGATGTTGATTTGTTTTGTTTTTTTTTTTTAAAGGTTAACCTCCATGCAATTTTGTATGGAGGTATGTATGGATGACACATGTAAGTTTTGAATTTTGTATTTCTCCATGTAACTGTTTGTGGTGACACATAAATAAAGGTTAAATTTTGTTGTCTTAACTTTTTATTTATTTTTTTGAGCCAAACCTTTTTTGATTCTTATTTGAAAAAGATATGTTTTTTATGTTTTGATTTTGTTTTCTAATTATTTCCGTAGTTACAACTAGTGGTTGTAATAGGCATAATTAGGCACCTCAAGTGGCGCCCTATATTAAATTCCTTGAGGTGTTTCTTGTTTATTTTTATTATAAGAGCCCTTTATTTCATTTTTTTGTAGTTCCCCCATTCCAATGCCCTTATCTTTTACTTATCCACGACCCCAGCTCTCCTACCAAACCCTGAGTGCCGTTCGCATCAGTAGCGATTATTTTGCTTGCCTTATCTTCACCCCCAATAGTTCTTCTCCCAATTTTCTATCTCCCGTATTAATGCCCCCTGTGGTAGGCAAAATACTTTCGTTAGAACATGAGTCGACGCTCGAACTGGTCAATCGCGTAGGTCTCTTCCCACCGCCAAAGTTCCTTCGCTGTTGCATTGAGCTCCGCAGATGAAGCGATTAGTGGTCGTCTAGAATTGCAAATCTCCTCGTCTTGTACGACTCTCATCACATGCGATTGGTAGCACACGAGAAAGTTCGACGGACACGTTTTTAGTCATGGCGATAAGATTATTGTATTGCTTTCTTCGTTTTTTATTGTTTTTTGCCCTAAAAAAATTTTTTTAAGATCGACGATTATTATGTTCGTTGTTTGTAGTACTACTAGCTTTGAATAAATATATTGTTTGTAATATAAAATTCGAAAAACATCAAATTTCTGTTTCTAGGTGTTTAATATAAAATTCGTTGGGAAGTGTAAAATACCCTCAATTGTATAATTATACAATGAAAGAATATGCCAATATGGATATATGAAAAATGCGTTCTTCCTGGTTGGCAGATGTGAGCAAACAGCAAATTAAATCGACTGGTGTGCGGTGAACAATCGCTCATGCCGCAGGGTTCGTATAAGACGAGCACGACGCATGAACTTAGGACGCGTGCCTTCGATCGACCAATGTGCGGACGGTCTTAATGTTGGTCATAAGGTGATGTAATGTGTCACATGTGTCTGTTCTATCCTCAATCTTCGTATTGCTATCTTCTTTTTTTTTGTTCAGAGATGCTAGGAATAAATAGCTGTTAACATTAGGTTTTGCTTGGAAATAATAATGACGGAATATCACTTAAACGTCTTAGGCTTTAGTGATCAATTAAAATATTAGATATATGTGAATCCATAAAAAAGCAGTATAGGAAAATTTTTAATTCAAGCTAGTAATACAGCAATGCGGCTTTTTTGTTTGGGTATAATAGCTAGGAATAATTTTGAACTTTTTAAAAGTGTTCCCCGAACGATTAATATTTCTTACATCCCCTGTATTATAAATGGCATTACTTAATATAGTATTTTTGTCTTTACTTTTTTTGTAATATATAAAGATAATCAACAGAGCTAGTAAAACAACTCCAAGATTAGTCAGCTCTGTCACATTAAATCCGATACCAAGTTAAATATTGTTTTATTCGTTTTTTTTCGGCGTCTGGATCTGTACGTTCATAAAACATCTCTATATTAGCGCCATATATCACTCAGCCAAATCAAACATCTCCCCTTCCGAGAAAAATGCCCAAAAAACCATCACATACGCCTTCATCATAGTCATTTATCACTAAATTAGCCAACTTGAAGAAGGGAAATGGCCCTTTTGTTTACAACGGACGGCGAAGTCGGGCTTGGGTGGCTTGGCGTCGCGTGTGACATCATGCATCATCCATATTAAGCCTTCTGACAGGGTCTCTGGAGTCAAGTTTGAACCTGGCGATGGTAAAGTAATGGGGATGTGTTGTTGTCTCCCGACTGCATCTTCATAAAAGGGACGTTTTGGGTCTCCGGTGAGGACTGGAGGATTTTGTTACCGATGAGACAGGACCGAAAGGAAGGATTTTTATTATTTTTAAACTACACGACTACAAAACTATTATTTCTGTCTATATATTAACAAAGATAGATGAAATATAGTCAGCTTGACAAAAACTCGTTGTCCAAAATAGTGCAAAAAATTAATTACAAATAATTATGGACATAGTTTAAACTGAAATTCTGTACCCCGGAGGTAAACGACAATATGTCCATTTTCTTATTTTTTTAGGAGAGCAGTTTTAACATATTTTAAATTTGTAATCAGTAAATACTCAGATGTTTCTTATATTTTTTATTGAGAATAATGTACTAATATTTTATATTTTTATTAATTATTTAATATATAAGATTATATTTTTTTAAAATGTGTAGTTGGAGTGTTTACCTCTAACAACTTTCTTAGATAATGTGACATTGCATGTTAAGGTCTCTACGAAATAAACAAGACAAACGCATTAAACCGCCTATACTATTATTTTATTAGAGACAAATATTATATGTAATAGGTAAAGAAATAATAAATAAGACCTACTCACAATCAATTTAATTTAACTATCAGACGACCGGTTTCGCTTTCTACAATATGCAAAGCATCTTCAGGTCTCGATACAAAGTTAAATAAATGCTGAAACGATAAAAACCCATATTAGGGTGTTGTCTAATAAAGATAAACAAAGTAGATGTTGTAAATTACAATAATTATGCCAATATTACATGTCTGTGGTTTTATTTCAAAAAGAGTAAGTTGAATAAAAAGGTATAAACAGTTTTAAAAGTTTAAACAGACAAGGTTAGGCCACAAATTGTTATAAAATAGTCTATTAGATTGTAATAAATTGATAAATGAGCAAATAAATAAACATTACTTACATGCCGGTACTCTATTAATTGATGGATGGTAGAACATGGTTTAAACTACTATGTATTGTTGAATGGAGAACTCAATTCTGCTATTGTAGTTGTTGGACAGTAAACGAGAAGTTCTTAAGGAGATATATTTGATCCAATGAAGCAGAGATATGTGTGTGATTGTTTGTTAAATGAAAGTGATGTAATATACCATCGTATTATTAAAATATATTTATACTTATTCGAGAGATATATTTATGAAATGTGTTTTATTTATTGAGTAATTGTTTTATGAAGGTGACAGTTTTATGACAATGAATGTCATAAATTGATTTGACAATGAATCCTCTTTTCTTCCTACACCTCTACGACCCTCTATTTTGCCTTTAAGGATCAGTTGTGAAATTTTATATCGACTTTCCATTACTATATGTCCCAGATAAGACATTTTTCGATGTTTATGACCCTGTATATATGTGTTTATATGGACGATTCATTATTTTATAATCTTTTGCAGCATTTGTTCTGTTTTTCATTTCTTTTCTGGATTAATTCTAAATGAAATCAATCTCTTTTACCGCACAAAGTATTAAATAAACAGATTACCGTTGAAAACCCACAAATCATTCCGCATCAAGAGGTCGAGAACCAGAAAATTAAATCTCTCTTAACAGATATAGCGCAGGGATTTGATTTGTTTCTATCATTAGACATATCAATCAGCCGAGGGTGGTGGTGTTAGTAAATATTGGATAAAGCACCTTCCGGTTTTAATATATTTCGAGATGAATAAATAATGAGAATGTATTTTTAGACAGGTCGTTAAGCAGAGTTTGTGTTTGAAAAATAAAAGGATATTGGTTTAGGCTAACGAAAATATGACTTTCTAGTTATGTAATACTATTAGATGTGCTGGTACAAGCAACAGACTCGAATTAATCTTTTGATTAGTGTAAAACATATTACTATATGTTCATATATTTATTTGTGCATAAAGTAAAGAGGATAGGTCATGAAATGAGACCACATATTTGGGGACTGAAAATAGTTTAAATGAGACTTAACTTGCTTTAGAATAATGTGCATTAAAAGACTATATTCTGTTAAGGTTAAAAGTAAAAATTAATTTTTTAAAAAAAAATAAGAAAATGTGTTCGCCTCTTAAAAAGTCCTTTATTCTTCTTCTTCTTCCTACTTTATAAATAGGCTTAATGCCTGTTTTACTTCGGTTTTTAGCCTCAATTGACGTTGTCTGACCATTTTTTCCTCGGTCGTTCCAATGATCTTCTTCCATTTGACGATCTGTCTCATGCTATTTGTACTATTCTATTTTCTGTCATTCTTTCGATGTGTTCATTCCATTCCACTTTTCTTCTTTTGGTACACGCGTTTATCTCCTCTATACCACATCTCGCTCGTATTTCCTCACTTCTTACTCTGTTTCTTAGAGTTTGGTTTGTTATTTTTCGTAAGACTTTCATTTCTGTTGTTTCCAGCAGTCTTTGTGTTTTCGCCATATCTGCTCTTGTTTTCGCTGTGTACGTCATTATCGGTCTTATTGTTGATTTATATATCGTGGTTTTCGTTGTTGTTGTGAGGTATTTGTTTCTGCAGATTGTGTTGTTGAGACATCCTGCTGCTCTGTTTGCCATGTTCACTTGTTTTTGTACTTCTTCTTCCACTTTTCCGTACCTTGACAGTTTTATTCCCAAGTATTCAGTTTCCATCACTTGTTCTATTATTCTGTTATTAACAACTAGTTTACATCGTCTTGGTTCCGCTATATATCACTATCGCTTTTGTTTTCTCTATTGAGATCACCATGTTGTATATGAGCGCCATATCTTCGAATTCTTTAATTAATCTTTGTAGGTCATCTTCATTTTCGGCTGTTATTATGGCGTCGTTGGCGTAGCATATTATCCTTATTTCCTTTTCTTCCATTCTATATCCCCTCTTTTTTTAACTTTTTTATGATTTTATCCATTATCAGATTAAATATTAATGGGCTCAGCGAATCTCATTGTCTAATGCCAGATTCATATTTGATAGGTTGCGATAATTTTCCTTTACATCTTACCATAGCTATGTTATCTTTATATATATTCTCAATGGTTTTACTAAATCCAGTGATATTTCCTTTTCATATAATAAATGTATCGCGTCCCGAAATAAATTAAGGATTTCGTAATACCCTTAATTTTGCACCACTTTTTGTGTGTATCTCCTAGTATCCAAAGATTCCCGGATCTTCCCTTTCTCGTTTACTTGCCATGTTGTGTTAATTGAACAAGAATATAATGATAAAATCATAGATAAATAATAAATAGTAGGAATAGATAGGTAACTCAATGTATAAATTTCGTTCATAGGACCCTTCCGGCTGGGTCAATACTAATCATTTTTGGCGGCAAATTCGAATGGACCCCCTTACATACATACCCTTTAGCGTCCTCTTGCGGGCTATTTCGTTACTAATTAAAATTTACTGGAAAATAGGGATATATAAAAGATGCACAATTTTTTCTAGATATACGTATATTTATTTGTTAAGATAAAACAGTTATAAACTAATTAAATATTATTTATTAAACATATTTTCAGAAACAAATGTTAAATACTATTATTGTTTGCTTTCTGACAACTTACGATCATCATTCTTTTTGTAATTTTTCCATGATTTATACACAACAGAACAATACAATACTTCACTATGTTACTAAAGGGCCGATTGTTCAATTGGAGATTATCTTCAGATTAAAAATAATCTTCAATTAAACTTAATATAGCGTTGTTCAATGTAAGTTTAGCACTTAACCATCTGTTAACCAGAGATTACCTTAATCGCCCAAAAACGAAGGATTAACGGTGTTAACTAGAGATTTGTAACCTTACTTTCTAGTTTTAAATTAAATATTGTCAGTTCTAGATTATAAAATATTACAAAATTATAGATTATAAGCTACTATAATTTCGTGTCGATAATAATAATTATGGCTATTGCTAATAATGATGTCTTTGATTTTGATGATGGAGATATTACAGAGGATGAAGATTTCTTAGCTGTTGTTAATATAATTTTTCCTCTGCGGAAAAAAATCCCGTATTTTTGCATAGATTCCGTTTACCAAAGGAAACGGTTTTTATGCTGGTTCATCGCATAAGAGATAGAATAGCTCATCTTACAAATAGGTAAGCTTTTTATAATAGTCAATTAAAAAAATATATATTAAATATTTTTTAGAAATCATGCTGTGATGCCGGAGACAATGGTTTTGCTTACTAATGCGATTTTATGCATCAGGAAGCATGATAATTACTGTGGCAGACTGTTCCTGAACTAGATGTACCAGATGAGTTACGACAAACTATTGAGAAGATTGGCAGCAAATTTAAATGCTAATAATGAACACTTTGAACAAAATGACAGACTAAACAATAATACAAATAGATTGTCAATAATACATAACCATTTTGCAAGGTTGTTGACAATAAAATTGCGTTTCAAACAAAATTCATTTTTTATTATTAATTTGTTTCTATTTCCTAGTGATGTTTGCACACAACAGTTGTTGTTAATGCTTTAGATTTTTTAATAAATATTTTCAACTTTTTATTGTATTTTATATTTTTTTAGCATAATACATGTTAAAAACGAAAATTAAATGTCCTAGATTTTGTAATAAAACGATGTATTATAAAGCATTATAAATTAAGAAAAATAAGTGTTTCATTTTCATCCAAATTGTTTTGCTAATTTCTCAGTGTATATTTATTGGTTTTACCAAATTAATTACCAAAATTAATGCCTGGTATATTTATAAACACCCATTGCCTTTTCAAGTTTTTCATTATGTGTAAAAATCATTAATTGTTTTGGGAAGGAAATCCAAATAAAAAACATTCATTTGATATAAAAAATTTTGTTGTTATAAGCTAAAAAATCAACATTACTATTTTTTAAACATATGTTTTTCTTGATCTAGAAGCAGTATTTTCTTTTTAATTTCCCATTCTTCCTTTTGAATTTTCATGTGTAATTCATGTTTCTCTTGATTATGCTGAAGTTTTTGTTGGTGCTCTTCAAGAAAACATTTTCTCTGCAGTTCCACTAATTCAGTTTTGGATAAAGCCCAAGTCGAAATTTTTTTTTGAATATTTCTCTCATCATTTTTTAATCTCAATTCTGAGGACTTTGGCCTTTTCAGTTTTACCGTATTATATTTTGACCAATCGGTTGAATTGGTCGTGGGGCTTTCTGGCATTAAAGTAATCTTCATTGAATCATTAATGCTTTTTTCACAACTTCCTTCTGAGTTTACTGTGGGTTCTGTTTCTAAAAAAATGTAAATATAATATTACCAAAAATTCAAAATATATTGTACAGTACTTTGAAGATGAGTTTTATCAGTGAAGTCAATCAAAAAAATAGTTTATGTAACATTATTTGTATTACTTACCACTAACAGATTCTATGAATAATTCTCCTTGAAAATCTTCTGTGGCAACATTATTAGCAAGATTGTGTTGGTCTGAATCGGCGTCATAGTTAGAAACAAAACCAGTTACAGTATCTCCTAAAATTTCCTTAAGTGTGTTATCTGTACTGGAAATATCGACATTAATTGAAGGCCCTCCTCCTGTACATCTCAAATAATTTTTTTCTTCTGCAAATTTTTTCTTGACATTTTTTTTCATGTTGTATTTTGTTCTTAAACATAAACTTGTTTTTGAACAGCCCATTAAGCTACAATATTCTTGGGCTATTTTTTCCCAGGTTTTCAGTTTCTCGGAATTTGTAACTGCATCACTTTTTTTATTTTCGAGAATATGTTTATATTTTTTAACAAAAAATATTAATATTTGTTCTTCATCAGCCGTAAAGTTAGCAGTTCTCTTTCTTTTATTACTTTCTTGCATTTTTTGCAATTTAAAATACAAAAATAATCACTTATACAAATCTCAAATAAACACAACAAATTCAAAGTGCAAAATGAAATGTAATGTAAACACAACGTCAAAGTCATTAACTTTTATATACGTACATAATATGAACACCAATGTTTATACCACAGAACACATTTATCTTTATAATTTTTATGATAAAATTTGTTCCAAGCCGTTAATTAATAACTGGCAACATTGTCACCGCTACAGTACTTGAGTTTAATAAATTCGAAAGTTAACATGCATTGAACAACTTTTTAAGAAATAATCTTTCAATTAACTTTAATCATTGTTTACTTAATCCATGAGTTAACTATTGATTCAACAACTGGCCTAAGTGTGTTATCTGTACTGGAAATAATCGACATTAATTGAAGGCCCTCCTCCTGTACATCTCAAATAATTTTTTTTCTTCTGCAAATTTTTCTTGACATTTTTTTCATGTTGTATTTTGTTCTTAAACATAAACTTGTTTTTGAACAGCCCATTAAGCTACAATATTCTTGGGCTATTTTTTCCCAGGTTTTCAGTTTCTCGGAATTTGTAACTGCATCACTTTTTTTATTTTCGAGAATATGTTTATATTTTTTAACAAAAATATTAATATTTGTTCTTTCATCAGCCGTAAAGTTAGCAGTTCTCTTTCTTTTATTACTTTCTTCATTTTTTTGCAATTTAAAATACAAAAATAATCACTTATACTAATCTCAAATAAACACAACAAATTCAAAGTGCAAAATGAAATGTAATGTAAATACAACGTCAAAGTCATTAACTTTTATATACGTACATAATATGAACACCATGTTTATACCACAGAACACATTTATCTTTATAATTTTTATGATAAATTTGTTCCAAGCCGTTAATTAATAACTGGCAACATTGTCACCGCTACAGTACTTGAGTTTAATAAATTCGAAAGTTTAACATGCATTGAACAACTTTTTAAGAAATAATCTTTCAATTAACTTTAATCATTGTTTACTTAATCCATGAGTTAACTATTGATTCAACAACTGGCCTAACGAATAAATGCAAACGAAAGTTAAAGATAATAAAATAAAATTGAAAACTTGTAAATAAACGGAAGATCTGTCATTACTTTTGACAGAATTGACATTGCGGAATTACGCTTCGTTTGATTATTTATTGACACCCCCAGACTGTGTTAAAGTAAATGATTGGTTAAAGTCTTCGTGAGAGAGATAGGCTGTCATTTCTCTTTATTAACTCGTTGGAGCTAAAGTGATGGGGGCATGAACCAAGGTCATTCATATAAGATTCCAGGGCATGGATAAAATTATAAAAGATTGATAATTTTAATTTTACTTTAATCAGTCATTTTATTCATCCACTTTTAATTCATATAATACTAAAATAACGCAAATTTTCCAAATACAGCCTTTTGTTCAACTGAACTACCAAAACTCCATTAAACATACAACAAACTAAACCGTGCCTCCCAAACGTTCTTTTATTGAACAAACCCATTGAACAGAAAACTGCAAAAGCTCCAAACGAGCCGTTAATCTACTAATATACATACTTCATATACTCTCCGCTCAAAAAGAAGCACAAAGCTATTTGAATAACACTATTTGCCTGGTAACGCGAACAGATATGATTGACCGTTTGGATGTTTGGCCGTTTGTAGACGAAATCGCGCTCCAAAAAGGATTCGTCATAGTTCCAGTTGAACAATCAAAACATTCGCGGCGTTCTCTCTATACACTGCTCGACATAAGAGTTTACTTTTGTTTCCTGTTCACTAAATATTAAACAAAACTAAAACCAAAAGTGTAATATAATTAAATATTTAAAACTATTTGTTCTCTTAGATCAAGAAAACGCAAATAGAGGGGTTTAGGAAAATGGATATAAATAACTTTTACGGATTTTGGGAAATTTATTTTCTAAACCTGCCTTTAAGGAAAATTATATTGCTGATAAGTCAGTAAAATAAATATAGTATAAAATTAGGTATAGGCTTTTTTAAGTAAACTAAATATTCGATATTAATTACAATAATAATAATACTATATAATACAATATACGTGTTCAATACAACGAAAGATCGTCAAATATAGAGATCTAGAAATACAAATCAAGAGACGATGGAGAATGGAAAGTACCCAGACAGACCTATTGTTCTACCTAATACTGCTGTTATTCCCAAAAACCTAAATGAGCTGGGTCTTAAAGAACATCTTAAAGCCTTGCGGAATGCTGTACTCCTTGCGACGTACCCCTAGATGTGTACGAAAATTTTGGGAGGTACTCCATCATACCAAGTCACCTAGGGCTCGAGATCTTTTGGCAGTTCTGTTCCCATGATTCGTTCTTTTTTGAGTTATCTTTATTCTTACTTCGCGCTTGTGCTTCTTTGTAAATTGTTTTATCGTTTTTTTTTGTTTTGTTGTTAAGAATGTTTGGTATTTCCGACGTTTATCTTTATCTTTTTTGATACTAAAGATCAATAATTTGTACAGGTTTGAATTCGAGGGAGCCACCAACTACTCACTAAGAAAAAGATAGTCGAATTTGCCGGAAAAATAAAATACCTACCAAAATTGTGCATAATTTAATAAAAATAACTAGAAAACTATAAGAGCAGTCTCAAAAAAGATTTGTCCACATCTGCCCCAACTGTGGCAAGCATTGTAATATTAGAGTTCATTATCTACCTTTGTAGTTTGAAATTTTCTGTGTGTATGTAAATTTTACAGGCCAAAGCGCCTAGAAAGTGCACTCCAATCAATTACGAAGTGCAACCATGTGTTCCTAACGTTCATAGGAGGATTAAAAAGGAGGAGTATACATCCAGCCGCGTGCGACATACGCGAAAAGCGTGCACCGATAAAGAAATATCCGTTTCAATGTTCTGGATTAGTCGCGTAGAAGATTTGTCCTTTAAAATATACACTAAGAAGTTGGTCAAGCATGGTGAATAGGCAAATACCAATGTTTTATCTAGTTTTCTCCAATTATTGTTCTCATAGTATCATTTTATTTCCTGGTTATTATGAGCATTATATTTATTCTGTAGTCAATTTTCCAATATTGTTTTCCATCATGGTTCTGAAATATTATTTTTGTTCACTAAGCAAATAAATATTTAATACTTGTCCTATATCTGCATTTTTCTCTCTATCAAATTTTCTTATTTCTTGGGATGAATGCTTCTTATGTTTGGGAAAAGCTTATTTTGCTAACTTAGTTTTTGGAGTTATTTATTGTCATTAATACCCAGCATTCTCATATGTAATTATAACGTTCTTGATTTGTTTTCAATACTTTTCGTGAAAAGTTTTCCAGAACACCTCGAATATATGACCTACCCAAATTTCACATATCCATTATTTCTTTACGCCCCATTGTCAGTACATATAACTGCCCCGTACAACTATTAGCCAAATACTGGGCTAAAACTCTACAACCTCTCGCCAAAAAACTTTATTTTTCGTCAAAAATTATTTTCATTCCATCGAACTTCATAGACAATACCCTATCTCACCGTCAGACATTCTGGTAATTTTGGATATCGATTTCACTCTTTACGAAACATTCCTATATACGAATTTTTTAAATATTCTGAAAACAAAATACAGTATCCAGCCAGAGCACTTATCTCTTTTAACATTGTATGTCCAACGCTTCATCTTCCAAAATTAATTCTATAGACAAATAAATGGTGCCCTAATGGCTCCCTGCTATCTCCAGTAATTGCCAATATCTTTATGGAAAACTTCGAGACCCGAGTACTATCCGCATCAATGCTCAAACCTACATGTTGGCTATGATATGTTGACAATACATTCGTCATTGCAGGATGCTTAGTGTCTTTTTCTCTCTTCTTCACTGCATCTCCGCTACGAAGGTGGCTATCATCATGCAATTTGACC